GGGTTTGTTGGGAGCACAAAGAAGAGACCTAGACATGCGACACAGTGGAGCACATAAATTATCAAGTGTGGGAAAACGATGTACAAGTGTAATTTTAACAGTTCAAAAATTTATGTTTCAATTATGATTTGTGTCACGGCAATAAACTGGTTTATAATTTAAATTTTATTATAATTTATATTTTTTGTAAGGTATCTCCCAGGTATAGTCCCACTGTACATATGTATGTATATATAGTGGTAGCAACAGAAATGCCTAGGCTTCTTTCTGTCTACAGTTGTCCTCTCTTTCCTCTACCTGCCTGGGGGCCTGTTACTCTCCCATTCTCTCTCTCTCTCTCTCCCTCTCTCTCTGGCTCTGTGAATGCCAGGAATACCGGACGGCCCATGTTCTTTTCTCTCCACTGCGCTGCTGCATTTCTACCTCTCCTGGCTGGGGGCTGGGGGCTTTTGTGTCGAGTGCACAACAAATATTGTCGCCGGATAGGTCGGGAAATCAACGCACTAAGCACACTCCGCCCGCCCCCCCCCCTCAGCACTGCACCATTCCCGTATGGCCGACGCTTGCGGGGACAGCGTGCGAGCAAGACAACAACACAAAGTAAATAGTAAACCGAAATAGTTTGCAGGCCAAAGTAAAAATGCTAAAGCAAAAGCAAAACGCAATAAAAATAGAATGCAAAAAACAGCTTTTTATCTCTCTCTCACACACATGCTCTCTACTACTCCGGCTCTCTTTTGTGGTTACTTTTCGCTGAAGTTAAACTAAAGCTGCAAATTAAATGCAACAGAAGAGACAAAGCAGCAGAAGAAGCGCACCAGAAAGAGTAGATGAAAAGTCAGTCATCTCCTCCCCGCACATGGTTAAGGGGCTCTATAAATACACACAAATGTACACATTTACACAGATATAGCTAAAAGCTATGGCTATGTGGCTATATAGCATTTATAAACTGATTAAATGAGTCAAAGAACCGGCAGGCTACGACTAGGACCATAAATTGATAAGCAATCGCAACAAAGAGATTAATCAGCACTCTGTTCAAGGGGTGGGTGTTTTATGGGTGGCATACAACAGCGTTAAATGTGTAGCAATAGTGCACGATAATTACACTGTCTAACCAAAACAAAATGTCATTAACGAAAGTGATTTACTCTGCCCATTCTCCGAAGAGAAAGAGAAATAAAAAGCACATGTGATAAGCGCACTGTAAAAAGTGAAAACGATCCACAGAAAGTCAGCGATCTATCCATTTATCGATAAGTAATCAGTATGTAAATATGTACTTCAGTTTCTAGCCAGCCAAACCGAGTAGAGAACACTCAACAAATTTCTCAAGCATGACCAAGAAGCGCCTTCATTATGCAATATAGGAAGGTCAAACGCCAGTGACCTTGAAGTGAGCGCATCGCTCCACAAAGAGTTCACAGGTCAATCGTTAATCCCTCTCCCCCATTGCATATCAACTACAAATGCAAAATTATTCCAAACAACCGTCAGGGAGCGAGCGAGCAAAAAAAAGGCAGATTAACAAATTGTGTATGTTAAAAATAACAAAAAAAAAAATGAACCAAAATTAAATCAAAATGCAGCAAATAAACACACACACAGATAGCAACAACAAAAGCAATCACGGGGAAGGAAGGAAAGAGCAGACACAGCAAAATGCGGGCAATGAACGCTTGATATACGCAAAAAAAAAAACACCGAAGAAACAACAAGCAGCGAAGAAGCAAACGAAGAAGAACCAACGAAACGTACACACAGCCATGGACAGACTGACTGCACATGTGGGAAGAAAGAGGAAGGAAGATGGAGATGGAGATAGAGATGTTGATGGTGGGGTACAGAGGAAAAGCTAAGCATTTGATTGGGTTCGCAATAGAATAGTAGGGAGGAATAACAAACAAGAGAAACATTCAATCGGATCGGTTCTTGATATGGGATTATGATGATAATATATTTTATAACGATTCGTTGTTTAAAAGCTCAAGTTATTAAAATTTTCAGTGGCCAGTTCCTGGCACTTGTATGCTGTCAGTGCAGTAGAACCGAACAGTCTGTATGTACATAAATACACTTAAATAATATGTACATATGTATATAATTTTTGGCCAAGGAAAAGTGCTCATGTTCCACTTGGCGTATGAGTAATACTTATTTCAAAAGGAGAGGATATATGTATAAAAGGGGAAATCTCCAACTGGTTTGCTGTGAAAAGTTCAAAGCGGCAATGAAGGAAAATATCATAGTTCGAAGCACTAGTATTTTTCGGTCAGATCTCTCTCTCTCTCTCTCTCTCTCTCTTTCTGTCCAGATGAAGGTCTTCTGCTTAGCTGGCTCACTCTCGAGTTGCTCCATTTTCGGATTTGCTATCCAATTACCTTGTCACGTATACAGCAATAACAACAGTAAGGAAATCCCTTAAATAATTCACATTTCACTCTCCATCTATCTCTTTCTCTTTCTCACTCTCTCTGTATCTTACTTATTCCTCCTCCTTTGCTCTGTAAAAGTCAAACTATCAATTACAATTATGTGTACAAACGAGACAACAATGCAATTGCAAATAGATACTCGATGCTCGCAGATACAGATACCACTAGCTCGGACAGATACATAGATACTCGAACAGGGCAACAGCAGCAGCAGCAGCAGCAGCAAACAATTAGCCAGAAGTCAGCAGAGCACAAAAGCCTTAAGCTCGCAACTAAATCGAAATGAGTGAACCAGAGAGAGAAACCGAGAGACCCACGGCCCAGGGGGGGCGGTGGACAGATAGTCAGACAGACACATGTGCCAATTTTGAAAATCGAGATACACACTCACACACAGTCCATTGATATAAACAGGCGGTGGAGGTGAGGCGGAAAGTGGCTGTACGTTCAAAATGGGGCTTGACCCAAGAGCCACAGAATCTCCCCACAGCCGAAAGAGAGAATTGGAGGCACCTAGGAACATGACTAAGCAGAGTAAATGAGTGAAGAACATTTTGTACATCTTACAGCTACATCGGGCGTATTTTTTTGGGTAAAGTTTGGATCCCCCGTAATTATTTTACAACTCTATTTATAATGATCCAAGGAAGTAGAATACTTTTTTGACAATCTAAAGAACATTGCCTTTGTCTGATCTGATATGTATATATAATGTACATATGTATGTATATAACCTTCGATGCACTCGATAAAGCCAACTGCTTTTCTTGTTTTTCCCTCAATATTATTAACAAGACTCAAAAGAGACAGAGAGCGACAGAGAGAGAGAGAGAGAGATAGATAGAGTGGGAATACAACAAAAGATACACAGAGTAAAGAGGGAGAGAGAGCGAGCGAGAACAAGACTTGTGGATAGGTAACAACAATTACGCTTCAATGCATCTATAAGATATTGTATCTGTACTGCATGCATGTGCTGCCTGTGGGCTGTATCTGTATCTGTCTCTCTCTGGCGCTTTTGTGTGCGCGTCTCCCCACCCCCCATTCCCCTCACCCTTCCCTTTCCTTTTCCCCTATTTAGATAGCTTTTTGCTTGTTGAAGAAACTTGTACAAGAGAAGCTGCTGTAGATGTATCTGTATCTGAGTATCTGCAACCGGACAAAACGAAACGCAGAGCAGATGCATCCTCCCTACCGCCTACCTCCGCACTGTCTATGCAAAACGACATTTCCCCCTCCACAAAAGGGGGCTTGATAAGATAAGAATGGCTGACACTTCCCCTTCCCTCCACCCCCCCGCTGTTGAGTAGGAAAAACATTGACAACTTTTCTATTAACGGACCGTGCAATGTAAAAAGAAGCAGCAAAGGCAGCCAGCAAGTATCTCTCAGTACGTTTTGTATCTACACAAAGAAAGCCTCCACACAAGAGAAAAATATGAGTTGGGTGGGGGGAGAGAAGGCTCTCTCCATCTCTCTCTCTCTCTCTCTCACTCTGTGTGTATAAGATGCAATGAGGCGGCACAACGCAGCTACAAAAAGTCTGCAATTGATTGCAGCAAAAGTTAAGTAGATTATGATGGAAAACTTTTGGGGGTGCGACAGGGGGGAGTGGCAGGAGACAGGAGGAGGCTCTGCTGCTGCCATGATACGACGAGTTTTGTGCCGCTGCCGTATAACCACGAGCTGCTGTAGCGAAAACTTTTTCCGAATCCAAAAAGAAACAGAAAAACACACACGTACGTACACACAGGAAAAACTAGTTTTTTCTCCAGCAGAGAAAAATGAATTTTCTTTCGTTTCAACCATTTTTCTTAGATATTTATTTGTGAGCCATCATCAAAGTTGGATGCCATCTCTTTAATGCCAGCCAGATGCGACCACAAGGAGGGGAGGAAAATTGGCAACTTCCTCTCTCTCTCTCTCTGGCTGTAAAGTCTGGCCTCGACGGAAATGGTTAACCAACTAAACTCCCGTCTGGAATCACTGTTATCTCTGTTAACTTGATTTTTTTTAATATTGATTCCACTTCTAGTTTCTAGCCAAGAATTATGAAAAACGAATTGAGTTTTGGGCGTAAGGTTCAGTGAACCAAAGAAAAGGAAGTGGAGGGCAGTTCTCTGGGAGAGAGAAATTACGTTAAAGCATAGGATCTATCAGAATGTTCTACAGTCCAGAGAAAGCAATTCTCACTAGGAAGAAAGACAATAAAAAATAAAATTAAAATAAAAGAAGATAAAAATTAATTCCAAGCGAGGGAGGGAGAACTACTCGCGCACATTCCAGTCGCATTACAAAATTTCGTGTTTCCCCAAGCAAAAAAAATCCCAATCCCAACCGGAGTAATCGTTGATCTTGGGTGTTCTTTGGGGGTCCCATTGTTCTTCCAAGATCGTTCTGTGCCCCCTCCCCTTCCGTTATGGATTGCCCGCCAACGATTGGGGAAGATTGATTCCGTAATTACGAAAAACATCTGCTGCCGTGAAAAACAGTTCATTTTGACGCCCCCCCAAAATCTACTACACGGTCAGCATTTTTATGACCCACTAAAACAAAAACTTACACGAAAATTCTTTAGAGAGGGGAAAATCAATGCCCAGACACGTACCTGAAAGAAAGAGAGAGAGAAATGAGAATGAATACAACATTTATAAAGAATTTAAATAAATAAATAGATTGCGTAGGGAAATGCACTGCTGTCTGGGATACTCTCCCAATAATTACCCACTAAATGCTAAATGCAGTAAATAATTTGTTCAACTTAAGGGAAGACTTTCTGTCCTATGCGTTCCTCGCATCTCAAAGATAAACAAACTCTCTGGGCCGCCAAAAGATGAATTTATTGGGTATTTCTTTTCAAACAGCTGTTGGAAAAACCATTTTCAATGTTTAGTTTCGTTTAGACAGGAAATGGAAATGGAAAATTACTCAATAATGGAATCTAGAAGGAAGGAGGTTCGATGGGGGGGTAGCACCAGGAAGCTGCTCAGACATTCTCTCTCCGTCACATTCCTATGCAGATTTAATGGAACCGGTAGAACCAACATCAGGATGGGAGCAGGATACCCTTGAACGGGCACGTATCAATCGGGTATATGCATTTCCTCAATGGTTTTATGGCATAAGTCAGCTGTTTGCCGTCTCTGATACAGAGCTACTACTGTATCTGGTATCTGTATCTGGTTTAACGAGCCGCCGCGCCTGTTCCTTGACGTCACTTTGAGCCGCCAAAAAAAAAAAACGGAACTGGTAGCCAAACCCCACTAAAAAAAATACAAAAACAAAAGACAGATGATGATGAACATTAAAGTAAACCAGCACAGCAGGTAGTCATTTATTCAGTCAGTCAATGATTCAGTCATTCATTCATTCACTCCATCTCAAAATGGTCAAGTGGGGCAGCAGCAGCAGCACCAGACAACTCCAAAAATACAAAAAAAAAAATATAAACCGGACGCAACTTCGTCTCTGCCTTAATTGCTTGAGTAAACTTTTATTGAGTAGCTCTGCTCTGCTCTCTGCTCTTCACTTCGCGTCTCGCATGTCAAACATAAATAGAAAACACAAATGAAAACAGCTAATAAATGGGAAGACTGCGGAGGGAGATACCCTTCTTCCAGACAATCAAGTGTCGCAGGAATGTTTATAATGATTTTATTTCAAACAAAATTTGAGTTAGAAGGACCCTTAAAAGTGTGACGTGAGATCTATCACAGCTTGACAAAAATCAATCGTTTCGATTCCATCAGAAGATATATAATTTTTTTATAATATAATATATAAACGAATAATCGTATAATTTTCTGTTCTTGGGCAGGGACTGTACAAAATATCTTTCACTCAAAAAAGTACAAGAATAGTCGAGTATTTTCTCTTAAGTGTAATGAAAATATCCCCCGACAATATCACCCTCTTGAGAGTTGTCGAAATATCCCCCTCCTTATATGCCAATGCCAAACTTTGAGATTAAAATCGTAATTACCCCATTTTATAGAGAGGGTATATAATTATGAAGAAGAAATCCAAATCATGCTCAGAGCCCCACCACCATGTGGGTCACAGAGAGAAACAATAAAATACGATTGTACATAATGTTGTATATAAAATAATAATTAAAAAATCGCATGTCTGACAGAATTTTTGACAAATTGTTGCCCCCGCGCAAAAATCACGGAAAGTTAATGAACTTGGGGGGACGGACGCCCGAGCGAGCTGGAGATAAAGAGAGAGGGAGAATCCCCACAATCCACAAAGCTAATGATAATGCCACAGCACACACACACACATACACACACCAGCAGATACAGATACAGTTACGCAGCAGCAGATAGACATCTGTATCTGTGACTGTTTATAAAAAGCGCGTGCTGCCCCTCGCATAAAAAGATTTATCATCCAAAACTGTTCCGTCCAACCGTCCGTCCAACTTTGTCTATGAATGAAAATGCCGACAAATAAACAATAAAAAAAAAAACAAAAGGAAAAGCAAAAAAAAGCAACAAACACAAATTTTAGTTTACTTCATCAAAAGCAAAATGGAAAAACATTTGAAACGAAATAAACGGCAAACAGAAGGCGTTTTTAGAGAGCGGAGAGAGGCACGGCACATCATAATTGTTTATCAAATAAAAAATTAACTGGAGAGAGGCAGACAGCAAAACGCTGTGTCTCTCTCTCTCTCTTTCTTTCTCTCTTTTTTCTCTCTGTGGGCGATGCGTCAGACCCGTGTTTAGATAATTAATGGAATGGACTGAGCGGTACGGGAGGGGCCGGCAAAAAGTGTTTACATTAAAACAATGGAAACATCATCGGCAAATAATTGCAACAACAACAAAGAGTTCACGCGAAAAGGTTAAGAATGCCGTCGAAAAAGTGACGCGAAAATAAATGCGAGATACGAGAGAGAAATGGAGGGATATAAACAAGAGAAAACGATCAGAAATGGAGGGATAAAAGGAGTTGACATGGAAATATAAAGGGAGGAAGAAAATTAATGGAATATACATACATATATAGAAGGCGAAATGAGGATAAATGGAAGAGGGAATGTAAAGAGTTGAAGAAAATACTTGAAAGTAAACAAATTTCAATAGGAAAATTGAAAAATATTCTGCACAAAATGTAATATAAGTCCCCGCTTTTGAAATATTTAATCAATCAAAATTCCATGAATAAATTCTGTGTCAGGATTCTGCACAAAATTTGTGTTTATCTTTTAAGCTTAACGTTTTCCACGTTTTTTCAATAAATATCTGTGCTGTTTAGAGAGAATATAATAGAATTATCTGGACTGAAGATTAATTTTGGCATGCATTTTTTTTCATTTTTATTAAACTTCCAATTTCTAACAATATTTCTACAGAAAAATCATTTCTCCAGTGGAAAATTTCTACCTAAAAAAAGTATTAAACAAGCTCTCGCTATAACTCTTTAGTTATAACTTTTCATAGTGAATTGTCCCTAAAACTTAAAACAACTGCATCAAACTTAATCCACCAAACGTGCCCCAAATTCTGTACTAAATTATTTTTCCATTGAAATAAATCAAATAAATCATCCGCAAAAAGGAACAAAAACATTTCATAAACTCTAAAATTCCAATAAACAAAGTTAAAATAATAGTGTTACAAATAGTGAGTTATTTTATTACTCTTAAACAAATAATAAATAATTTCATTAGAAAAGCAAACCAAATACGAGCGCAAGTTAATCCCCAACAATCGCCAGTGATATATTTCCAGTACGCTATAATGAACTATTAATCATCAGATTGCCTTTATAATAAAACCCAACGCCCAGCAATTGAAATGTTCTCATCTTCCCCGGCACACAGCTCGTTCCACCTAAACGCTGCTCATTTGCTCCACCGAGAACAGCGGCAGGCAGCAAGCAGCCGCCAGCCCACACATTCATTGCAGGGGCAGTTTAACTTAATAAAATTGTTGCTACGAGTGAATATATTTTTTGTATACTATTTTGATCAGGGGGAATCTCGGGCGAACAAGAGATATTCCCCCCTCCACTCGACGATCGGTCGGCGATCGGTGTGCGATTTGCATAAACAGGTCGGCCGCTGCTGTTGCTGTTGCTGCTGTCTTTCGACCCGTTTAGAATTTGTTTAATTTGCTGACGTGCCAAAAGATTTGCTTCCATATCGATGTATCTGTGAGATACATCGTGTATTTTTGGAGCAGCAGCAGCAAAAGTGCGAACGCGATTGATACGTTGACATTTCAAATGAGACGGCGGCGGAGCCGTATCTCTCTCGACTGAATGCAGCAAAAATAAGTATCCAAGTGTCTGTATATGTGTGTATCTGTATCTGAGCAATGCAACCAGCGACAAATTGGAGATATCTCTTGCGCAGGAAAAACTCTTGAGCATTTTTCTGCTACGACCGGAGTCTGTATGTTTTCGGGCCAAATAAGGCCCCCACAACGATCCACCGAAATGGTCATAGCCGCTTGCCTCTTTTCTCTCTATGGAAAAATCAATGATGGCTGGTTGCTTCGAGGCCTTTTTTGTGGTTGCTTCAACGATGTTTGCACATCCATGGAGGCTTTGTTGTAGTGTGGTAATTAGCAAAACAAAACAAAAAAAGTAACAGCCTACGAAATTCCTAGAAATGGTCATGCCACTGGATGGATGGATTGTCTGCAAGTATCTCTGCTGCTGGATAGATGCTGGATGGATAGATGATGCATTCTGTAGATGCGTTTTTGATTAGCACAAATTATGTCCGCTCACACACATTACATTCCGTAGATGCATTCTCCCAAGTCATCTGACTTTTCCTGCCAGTATATCTGTGTATCTGTCGGAACTTATTAAATTTCACATGTTTCTTTTTCGGTCGCATAGTAGAACTGGTTCCCCCTCACATTGCAGATACATTTTGAGATGCAAATCAAACTGGTTGAAAGATTCAATGAGTTCAGATTGCGCATATTTTAGGATTGCGGATTGACTAGATACTTGAATCAGTTTTAGAATTGATAAATACTTCCTTGGTCAAATGACGGGTGTATTTTGCATGAGTTGACAGTCATATTTCATGGAGCAAAGTAGCTGCGTCTGGATAAACATTGGATACGGCTTAGACTGGACTACTAAATGATATGCAACCCGTTCTAACGATTATCTTTTGATTAGCAGATGCACTTAACAAGTAAAAGATATCTGAGATACTTTTCAGCAGTGATTAAGCAGAATTCACCAACAGTAGATACATTTAAGAAGCAAAAGGGACAAGATAAATTAAAAAAAAACACATCCTCATCTCAACCCCAAAAGATAATTATTCAACGTTCATTTAAATATCATATATTGCAGCAGTAAAAAGCGCTTTTAAAATGTACCTTACAGATACTCCTTCCGCATATTAAATACCCTGTTGCCCACAAAAGATACTTGCATTTTTAGCTCTCTTTTTTTTTGTGCTTTTCAACCTTCATTCCTCACAGATACATGTATTCCCCCCGTCAATCCAGATACGTTTTACTCTCAACCACACCATTCCTCCTCACGCTTCCCCGTCAAAAGTAACTTCCTGCCACATACAAGAGCTGCCCCAAGAGTCGGCCGAGGAGTCCTTCACTCCTTTGACAA